TCAAAACATTTCAATAAACTTCTTTGATATTCTTTGTGGCTAGAGAAGCATTGTTTCCCTTCTTGTAGTCAAACAGCATTACATGTCGAATGTGTGTCTTGTCGTGTATTATCACTATAAGGGATTAGAGTATACTAAACTTTACACATTATATAGGCTACACTAATGTGATGTTTAGGCAGTTTGTTTAACTATTATAACTGATGTATGTTTTTTGGAGTGGTTAATGAAAGTGTTCCAAAACGCAACATTAATTTCTTGAGAACATAATATTTGGCTCTTTCTTTTTGGCATGCTCAAGTTGTTGAAAATATACAGCATAACTTTAGAGAATTCCCAAGATCCTGCTGATGTGTGGCATCCATCTTGTGCAGCCAAGCTGGTTTGAGAACATCTTCTAAAACATCTGCCAAAGCTTTGAATTTGCATAAGGCTTTAGGTAAACTATGGTTATGTTTAGATATTTTTTGTAAGATGTCCTGAACGTTTTTTGATTCTTCTAACTCTTTAATTGCTCAGAACACACAAGTTCCAGTTTATGGCTCATTTAATGTATAGTAAGAATATGTTCACGACCATTTTTTTAGCCTTATAGCAACACAATTTTTTTTAACTTAAATTTACTTAAGCTACATCTGACCCCACACCAACTACTGTACCCCTCCACTCAGGACCCACCACTTCAGTGAAGGTATTGTTTATCACATCAAAAACACCATCAGCATGTACCAGTTCTTTGAACTTAATACAGTGGCTTACTGGGACATCACTTTTTAAAATTGTAAGATATATTAGTTTCAACTCTTGAATGCTCACATCAGTAGTATAATGCATTTTAAAGTTTTTCTCAAGGGTTAATCTCAAGTCATCAGCAATGCAAGTCTACAAGTGATAAAAAAGAATTTTAATGGCAGACAAATACTGAGAACTAATAATAAGAACTAAAAAACCATCATTTGTTCCTTGACTGATTCCATAAAGTAAGTTGCTGTTATAATATGCACGTGATTTTAAATGTTAGTAAACCTGGAGCATAAATAAATATTTGTGGTTCACTGCTTTTAGTATTCCAGAGGAGTTTGCCTTATGGCTTCCAGCTCCATGCTTTTGCTACTTGTGTAAAAGATCCAATGCTACATCAGCCTTATGTACAATGTTCTTTTTATGTAAAATATTGAATGCCCAAACAGCTCTTTCAAAATCTTTGGTGTAACAATCATCTGTGGCTATGATGACAGGTGATTGTCCACCATGGTCTTTAAACAGATATTTACATACTTCTTCTGTTTCGCTCTCTGCCCATTCTCCACATTTTCTTTTTTTTAAGCTGATTTTCACAGATCCCAGTGGCATCACATGTTTATATCACAGAAGTCAGAGATCTGCTGGTGATGAATTATCTCAATGGTGGCTTTATAACACTTGTCCATCTCCTGAAGCACCTTTTGTGCAATAGATTGCTTGGCCAGTGTTTGCAGGGTAATTATGAAACTTGAATGTTTCAAATTTTGTTTTTAATTTCGTGCATAGCTACTCAAGGGCTATTGGTGCTAGCTAATTTAGGAGTGACAGTGTACAAGAAAGGCAGCTAATCAACATTACCCATTATTGCTAACTCTTGAGCTTCTGTTTTACCAATGAATAGTGGGATTGATTGTCATATTATAACACTATGTCTGAAAAAGTGAGAATGCTTGGTGATTGGGATTCAAACCAGTAATCTGCAGATTATGAGTTAAGTGCCCAAACTACCAGGACATAAAAAAAGGACATTGGCTTGATGATAAAATACAAGGCTCTAATGAAGAATTTTACTTGTAACTGCTATTGATGTTGTGTGATGTTGCTGAGGCCTGTGAGGTGTACAAGGGCTTTGATAGGGATGGCTGTAGTACATCCTGTGACCAGTCTTAAACATGTGTTGTATCTTTTCAATCTTGTCTATATGTGTAGCACTCATTGTGATAATTGATAGTGAATAATTCAAGAAGGAGCAGGTAAGACATAGGTCCAGCATATGCAGGTGATGTTTTTCAACTTTATTTCTTGCTGCAACTTTATATGCATTGATACTTTTGGTACATCAAGTTATCAGGGTGTTAATGTGGCTTGTGAAGTTGTCTGTCAAAGGTAACCTCCAGCTACTTCTGTGTTTCTTTCAGAGAGACAGCAATTCTCATAAATATGGTAATGGGTTATCCTCACATCATGTCTTTTGTTGAGTGTGAAGAGAAAGACTATAGCAGGAATGTTATCATTCCTTTGTCATTGCACTATTTGATCACCGTGCTATGAGATGGTTGCTTTTTTCTA